TAGATTCATTGCAGAAGACTACAGAAACTCTACAATACACCAAGAGGAAAAGATGATTACCACAAGGGAGGTACACAGTGAAAACAGGCAAGCTTTAATCTTCAATATATCTTGAGAATCTGCAGCATGTTCTAATTGCGAGCAAACAATTGGAAGCAGAACCTAAAGAACCATAAGGCAAATAAGATAAAATTCCTATATGAAGTTTAAGGAAATATGCAAAATCCCAGAATATGTCAAGGAAAAATAAAGTGATAACAGATAGTTAAGTAAAGTCAATGCTGCGTACTTCAGGATGAATGCGCCCACAAAGCTCAGCAGCAAGTTTTCGTACATCTTCAAATTCAAACTTACTAAATGCCCTGAAACAGGGAAAGTAATAAGACATCATGAGATTTTAGATCAGAAAACAGAAGTTTTGATAATACTTATTTGCAAAGACCAACCTATTCAAGAGGAAAGTAGCAATACTTATGTCATCAATGCTGCTGACATCACTATATTCTGCAATAGAGTGAAAAATAGAACAATCAAAAGACATATGCATAAAATACACTGTTTTTCTTCAAAAAAAAAAAGTGTATAAAATTCAAGCAATTACCACTTTATACCCGCATATCACATTCTTTTGAATAAATAGAATGTATAGAGTTTAATTTTAGTAATACATCACAATGCAGTTAAGCCAATCAGATCTTCATTCCATAAAAAAAAAAAAAAAGCTGAATAAAACACTTGGATTGTCATAGGAAGAGAAAAAAGGATGAGCTTACAGCAATTACAAATCATACCATGCATAGTACCCTGATTATGAAGTCCACCATACACGACAAAGGAATTTAGATCATTAAATACTCTCAACGGAAGCAGCCTAATTATGAGTAATGGACAAAGTCGCTCAAACAAAGATTGCTGCATTTTCATGGAGTCATCACTTGTACAAGTTCTTGTCTCCCATCTAGAGAAGGAAGCTTCATCAATCATGCTACAGGGAAAATTTTGAGCAGTCAATACGAGAAAAAAGTGTGATCAACCATGGAATTGTTCATTTCAGATGTCATGCAAGTTGTGTTCCATGCAACAGGATTTTATCCAAGACATAAACTAATCTCGTTAATGACCCACAAGTGGATAAAAGGAAACATTGTATTGACAAGTAGAATAGACTAGCCTCATGGCTTCTGGAAATTATTTCAATAATTAAAAGAAAATAATGAGTGAAAAATTACAATTAAGTTGATAAGAAAAACAATCACAGTCTCCTAAAAAGTAAAACTGCAGTTTGCAAGTACTTAAGACTCTTTTTCTCTCTGGTAAAAATCATTTAAAGGAAACGTAATAATCAAAACATCAGTTAAGCTATTGCAAAATCAATCATTATTGGTCAAACAAATGACAGATCTCAAGTATGTGAAAACGTTTGTCCAGGAGTGCTGATTAAGTGTTCATATCCCATACAGACTCAGCCCTTTTTGTTAAGGTGTTCATGCTGCTTATTTTCAAAAAAAAAAAAAAATGGTGTTCATGCTACTTGTTTTCAAAAAAGAAAAGGCGTTCATGCTACAGCTTGTGATAAAATTTAACAGACTATAACCGAATACTAGATACCAGTTATTCAATACATTGAAAACGGTAAACTGGCAAAGAAGATTTGTTCTTCTTAAGTTTCGTGTGCCCACACTTTCTATGTCATGGTGGTTCCATCAGGTATTCTTTGTTTGATTGGCTCAGACACATTATAAAGAAGTCTCATTAGTTAGGTCACCCATTACCAATATGTACATCTACTTTTATCACTCAGCCAATGATTCTTTTTACTCTCATTTTTTCTATTGAACACCTTACTATTAATTAAAAGCTTTCCCATTTCCCTAATTTTAATATTCCCTACATCTTTCCAAACCTTTCTAACGCTTCCTAGCTGGCCACTCTACTCCTGCCATGCCTTCCCCAACTGAGATCAAACCTACCCCTCCTTTATGGGAACAGTTCCTTTTCTTGCACATGCTTTTCCTATAATACTACTTGCTTATTCTCCTACTATACATTCCAGCTCCTCAAGAATAGTCATCTCCCATGGCTTCAATGCCATCATCCTTACACAATATACTTCATTCTTTTTGAAGTAAAACAAGCCTTTAGAAGGCTATGAGAAAATGCATGCTGTTATGAAAATAATTTGGACAATTATGTGCTTACTCTTTCTGTCCTTTCATC